CATTGATTTTTAGCTGGGCCATGGCTGCCCAATAGAGACCCACAGATGTCCCACACCTCTACACTTGACCAAGAGAGTATAGTGTAGTGATGTTTACAACTTCTGCAAGTGGCCTAGAATAGAGGCGTGTTCCTTTCTGCCCCTACCTCCTTTATGCTCACTGGAAAAAGGCTGTAAGGAGCTTGAGCAGCCATGATGGATCATAAGGGAGAAGCTGCATTTCAGGATGGTAAAGCCACATGATGGAAGAAGCCCATGGATCTGCTGATTAGAGAGTCACCTACACTGATGTGAGAGTAATACATTTTATTTTCTTTAAGCTACTGTTACTTTGAGCTTTTTAGCTGTTACAGAAACCAATCCCTGTATGAAAATATATTGTTTAGGATAATTTTCTGGTGGCAGTAATAGGAATCATTCAAAGCTATATAAAGCAAAAAGGGAGAATTATTTTAAGGACAGAAGGATTTCTCACAGAATCTATGGGAAGGGATGAAGGAAGTCTCAGTAATAGATTGGTAGCTGGTATTAAAAAGTAAGGCGAGGCCAGGAAGCCCTCTCATTGTGTCTCATCTCTCCTTCTCTTCCTTCTTACTGAAAATTATTTACATGGTTGGCACAGAGAAGCAACAAATAAATATTTGTTTGATGGATGGCAATTTGTGTGTGTGATAAACTGGATCTAAAGTCAGTTCTCAAAACGTTTTGTTATATATATGTGGCTTGTTAAAGTGATTCTTTTGAAGGGGGGAATCATATTTTTCAGAGTCTAAGCTCTCTGTTCAACCCTTTCTCTCAGCTTTCCAATTTTTCCCAGTCATTTATTCCAACATCAGAAAGGGGGCCTGAAATACAGGGTTGTCCATAATTAATATAATGACAGATACTTTTGAGATTGCTCTGCTTTTATACAGAGTTGCAAAAGCCAGTTTTTATAAGAACACAAGCACTGGCACTCAGTAGCTATTTTGGCAGGCAAGGAAATGATAGATTAATTACTTTTGGTACATTTTCCCCATAACTGTCTTTTTTTTCCATTTCATTTTTGCATTGTTATTATTTACCAGTCTGGGTTCTCACTTATACCTAGTTTGTGCCCTTCAGGGTTTCTTATATTCTTGCCAGCTCTTTGATATGTTTGATAAGATGTTTTATATGCTTTATTCAGCACTTTGAGTTGCTTTTGGTTTGAGAATCAGCCAGAGTCTCTAGTCTGCCATACTACTGGACACAAAAGTTCAATATGCTTTCACTTCATTCATTTATAAGATATTCACCTGCGTTCCAAACACCAGGCCCCTAACTCTGGTGGCCTAAGCTCCCCATCCACAAAAATGAAGAATAACTACCTTTCCACCTGCATCAAATTTTTTTTTGTACAAGACTCACATAATCATTAATATGAAGTCAGTCTGCAACTGGAAACATGAAAATACACATTTTCTTAACTCTGAAAACAAAATGGAGGCAAACAAGTAATAAAAGTTATAACTAAGGGTAACAACCTTAGAATGGTTTGTTCGACTTAAAATTTCTGTATCTTTGCACTCATCTCCTTTTTTTCTGGCCCAAGGTATAAATGAGAAAATCTTAAGATAAAAAAAAATGTTATTTTATGTTATAATTGACATTAATTTTATAATTTACACTTTTAAAAAATAAAGAGAAAAACATAAAGAGAAAAAGGCAATCTTGAACACACTATAAAATCTTTCACTTTTTTTCTTTTTGAGATGGAGTCTCACTCGTCGCCCAGGCTGGAGTGCAATGGCGCGATTGGCTTGAGGCAACCTCTACCTCCCAAGTTCAAGTGATTCAAGGTTCAAGTGATTCTCCTGTCTCAGCCTCCCAAGTAGCTGGGATTATAGGCTCTGGCCACCAATCCCGGTAATTTTTTATATTTTTGGTAGAGATGGGGTTTCACCCTGTTGGCCAGGCTAGTCTTGAACTCCTGACCTCAGGTGATCTGCCCACCTCAGCCTCCCAAAGTGCTGTGATTACAGGCGTGAGCCACTGCACGTGGCCTTTTGTTTTGTTCTTTTGAGACAGGGTCTCACTCACCCAGGCTGGAGTGCAGTGGCGCCATCTCAGCTCACTGCAACCCCCGCCTCCTGGGTTCAAGTGATTCTCCCACCTCAGTCTTCCAGGTAGCTGGGACTACAGGCGTGCGCCACCATGCACAGCTAATTTTCGTATTTTGTTTTTTGGTAGAGATGGGGATTCACCACATTGGCCAGGCTGGTCTTGAATTCCTTACCGCAAGTGATCTGCCCACCTTGGCCTCCCAAAGTGCTAGGATTACAGGCATGAGCCACTGTGCCTGTCCAGATCTTTCACATTTTTAAATTTTGTGAAATAGCTGTCCTTTTCATATGTGGGTAAGCTATCAAACTTAAGATGCTCACAGTACTTTACATACTTTGTAGGCTGAGATTCTGAATGTCTAACATTCTGTAATGTATCTTGGTCTCTGTGCTGCAAGAACACTGAAGTATTATTATAGGTAACAATCTATGTCACTCTTCTCAAACAGTGCTAACAGGTTAAGTACTCAAGAGGAACATCTTTCAGTATATTTCAAAAAGCCTCATGGATGGTAGGTGATTTGTAAATGGACCAACACAGGACTCAGGCATATGGTTACTGTTTACTATTTCCTGTAGATCACGATGTCTTAGGTCTCATGTAGAATATATCATAGGACTTATCCTCTAAACATTCACACACCAAGACTGCACTCTGCATGCATACCATTCACTCATTCTGCATTTACTGAGTCAGTCCCACTGCATGTCAGACCTTGTGCCTGTTCTCAAGAAGCTCACAGTCTAGGAAAATGGAGAAATACAGCTACAATTATAACTCTATGTGATAAGTATTACAAAGAGATACGGTGTTATGGAAGCACTGGTAGGGGCACTTAGCCCATACTGGAGTGGCTGGGATAGGGCTGAGTGGCCAACAGGGAAGGGTTCACAGGGGAATTGATGTCTAGGATAAATAATGAATAACAAATAACTAGCAAGGCAAGGAAAAGGTAGGAGATCAAGACATAAAAAGAAACAGCATATGGAAATACAGGGTTGTGAGTACAGCAAGACTGGGGAGCCCAAGTGGTTTGCTGTATATTTAATCTATTCATTTCACATAGCTATTACTGACATACTTGTCTCCCTATATATGTTTGAGTCCGTGAATGGTGGGGACTTTGTAATGGTTTCTCTGTCCCTATGTCTAACAGGAAGCACACAGATGGAGTGCAATAAAATGTTTGATGAATGAATGACCAGCTACGTGGTGTAAGGGAGAATAGTTAGGAGTACATTAATAAGAAAGGTCATTTCTAGTGGCAATGAATATCAGATAAGATAGATTTAAGAATTACTTAGAAATTAAGATGAATAAGACTTGGTGATATATTGGTGATGGGGTATAAAATAAGAACAACTGACTTTCTAGGTTTCTGGACTACAGATGCATGATAATAGTTATAATGGTATAATAACAATAGCTAATATTCATCAGGTACCCTGTGTCATGAAGTATGCAAAGTGTTTACATGAATTAAGTCATTTAAACTCTCAATGACTTAGTGAGGCAGGTTCTTGTATACTTATTCACTGATGAGAAAATTGGGGCTAGAGATTCATTTGCCTAAGGTCACTCAGCTAGCAGGTGGCAGGCTCAAACCCAGTAATTCTGACTCCAACAGCCATACACATAGTCTACTTTCTTTACTGCCTCTAATAGATGAGATTAATACCCAGAATGATGGTTCTATTCAATATGTGTATTACATAAATTGCACGTTTCTCTTTTGCTAAACATAGAGACACATACTATGACTGCCTCTTTATTTTTTCCGATTTTTGGGATCTTGGCTCTTTCTGTATTTTTCCTACCTGGAAGACTTAAAGTGGGGTGGAAGTTTGATAAAACAGTTGGCACAAAAGATGAGAGAAGACAGGTACAGGCGTGACATTCTCGAACGCTCTGGCAGTTGCTGGAATGATGGGATCTGGGTTCTACAGGATTCCTCCCCTCCCATCCCCCGCCACACACACACACGTCGTAAGATGTATATGGCCGCGGAGTCTCAGGTTGGTTCTAGGAGTCCTCAACTCACGGCGAAGGTGCCTCTTCTCCCTCCTGGAGAGCCCAACATGCCTGAAGTCAACCTGAGGCGGCCTCTCGGGCCCCGGGAAACAACGCAGCTCGGGCTCGCCCTTGTTCCCTGGGAAACCGCCCGCGGAGGAACCTGGGGCCAGGCCCGTGACACCTGCGACGAGCCCCGCCTGGCGCCAGGGGGCGCGGAAGCGCGTCCGCCCCCAGGCCCCACGCCGGGTCCGCCCCGCCCCTGCCGGCCACACCCCCCCGCCCCGCCCTCCCTCCGTGAGGACCGGCCGCTCCCGGCTCCCGGCTCCCGGCCCCCGGCCCCGGCCCCGCTTCCGGCGCAGGCGCAGTCCCGCGTTCGCGCCGCGGCTGCCGGCGTAGTGAGCCCGCCACCGTGGAGTGTAGCGGGAAGGGCTCGCCGTCCTCCTCCGCCTCTCGCTGCTTCGGGGCGCGCTCTCTGCGGCTCTGTGAGCGCCCGTGAGCGCCGGCAGCGGCCGCGGTGGGTTCGTCAGGTGAGTGCGGCCGCGGGAGGGAGAGGCCCGGAGCGTGGAGCACCGCCCCCCTCGGCGCCCGCGCGCCCGCCTCCGGCGAGTGGGCCAGGAGGGGCGGCCGCGGCAGGTGCAGGTGCCGGCGCCGTGGAGGGCGCAGCGCGCGGGGGTTCGGCGGGATGCCCCGGCCCGGTGAGCGCGCTCTCCGCCTGGGCAATTGGGCTCCGGGCTCTTGGGGGCGGCGTGTGGGGGGACCTCGTTGCCCCGGGTCAGCCGGCCGCCCCGTGGGCTGCTGGTGGGCGCCGGGCGGCGGCTCCTTCCCCGGGCACGGGCGCGTTACACATTAACTGCGCGGTCCCGCGCGCCCGGGGCAGGGAGCCGGAGCCCGGCGGGTTACCTGGCGGCGGGCGGGCGCGGTCGGGAGCTGAGGGCCGGGGTCGCGAGGGGGATGAAGACGGAGTTCCCGAACAAGTCGGAAGCCGCTCACAACACCGGGCGCCGCGCGGCAGGGCTGTGGACGGGGCAGTAGCTGTGGACCTGGGGTGGTTTCGTGCCCCAGTCTTAGGAAACGACGCGTGAGGCACCGTGCCGAGGCGTAGAGGTCACCCTCGGGAGGTTTCGGTGAAACCTGATGGGAAATTCCGGGCAGGCGCCCGGAGTAGCGTCCGAGGAGGCAGCTCCTTGCAGCCAGACTTGTGTTCGGGGGAGTTGAGACGAGCTGCACGGGTGGGATTGCACGGCTCTGCCCTCCCAGCGTTGACAACTCGCCCCGACCGCCCGGGGGAAGCGCGAGCTTTCTGGCTCTAGAAGTGATGATGCTGGGTGGAAGCCGCAGCATGTAAAGAGTTGCCGGTTGTTATGGGATTAAAAAAAGATATATCTGCAATGGCTAAAGGGTAAGGTCTTGAAAGACAAGAGCGCTGAGTTAGTACTGATTACTGAGAGGCAATTTAGTTTCATGGAAATGTTGCGTGTTCGGAGGCTACCTGTTATACACTCTCCTGTTTCACCCCAACCCCTTCCTTTCAGTGTCGGGTTAAAAGCCTTGTAATCTCTTGCAGTGGCATGATTGCATAATTGGAGGAGGGGCCGGTAAGAGGATTACAACAAAACTGTTCCATTGTAAATCAATTGAAAGACCCAGTTCTTGTTCATTATCCTTTTTCTCATTTTGTTGTTCATGAAGGTTTTTTTTTTCCCCCAGTGGTGAATGACAAATCAAGGAGAAAAGAGGCAGAATAGGGTTGTAGACCAATCGTAGTAAATATTTGATACTGTTAAATATTTCACCAGTTTTATGGGGCCTTGTGCTGTTACCATTTGTTATTTATTTACTAGTACTGTGCATTTTGATAGGACTTTTCGTGTGTGGACATTGTATTCCAGATATGGCTTATGTGATCTAATCCTAAAGCCCTTGTGGAATTTATAGAAATAAACAGTTATACAGTTAAGTAGTCCATTTTTTAACTATTGAAGGAAAAGCCTTTAATTTTTTTCCATTACAGTAATGTTATACATTAATGTATACCTTTGTGAACCAAAGTGTTTAATGTAACTCTTCCTTCTGTGTTTGGCAGACAACTCATCTGTGGTATTGAATACTTGTAACCTTTCACCAGGATGGCCATTTAATGTTTAGCTGCTTTGTGGGTTTTCTGAATAGATCCTATTGTACTTTTTGAATTAGTGTAATTATCCATATGCTTCCTTTAATATTCTTTACCTTTGATTTTGTATAAACCCTCATCCTCCCCCAACACACACATCCTCTACAAATAATTTTTAAAATGGAAATGTTCTTAGAAATCTGTTTCACCCCCTCATTTTTTAAACATGGCAGGAAAAAATACCTTGTAGATTACAGTAGTTTTATATGCATTACAGTAGTTAGTATACTTTTTCCCCCTCAGCAGGAGTCAGTGAGCAAATTAGTGAGCTGGCTGAATGAAAAATTATTTAATGTTCAGTTCCATCACTTACTGTGCATAAAACCTTGAGTAAAACATTTAACCTATTTGAGCTTATTTTCTCCATTTGTCAGTGGAAATACTATTAGGTTGAAATTGCTAGTATTCTGCTGCTTTTTATGTTTCAACCTAATATGAACTTCATAGTGGTGAGATGAGGATTTAATAAGATACTCCATTAGAGATGTGGGGAAGGGGAGAAGGAATCAATGTGAGCTTGCTTGTGTGCAAGGCACTGTGTGTGCTTGTTTTCCATACCTTGACTCCTCAGTCCTCTGGACATTCCTGGGATATAGGTGACTTGTCAAATTTTACAAATCAGGAAATGGAGGCTTAGAAAGTTGCGATAATTTGTCTGTGGTTACTTAGCTGTAGGTGGTCGTACAGCTGGCCAGTGACAGAGCCAGTATTAAAAACTGTATCCAACTGCCCAAAATGGAACTTAGTGCTCTTATTTCTTACATTCCTGGTCTGCACTTTCTATTAAAGAACTTTGTAACTATAAGGAGGCACACAGATGACAAGTGTTACCATTTGTATTTCTGGTTTAAAAAATACCCACGTTTTCTAATGACGGTGATACCAGCCTTGCTACTACAGTTACTTTTAAGTCTAGTGCTTATCAAGCCAAGTCCTGGTATAAGCTTTATACTAACTCACTTTCACAGTGAGCTAGGAGATAATGCTTTATCCCTATTTTGTAGTTGAGAAAATTGAGACGCTGAGACCTTACGTAGTTTGCTCAAAGTCATATAGTTAAAGTGACAGGTCTGGATTAGATGTCCGTTTGTCTTCCATGTCTGTGCTGTTAACCACTACACTCTGTCATTTCTTCATGTATAAGTGGTAATGCTGAAGAATTGTTTGCTCATAATCACTGCATTATCACTTCTTTGTGTGTAGCTTATAATGCTGAATAACTGTTTGTAATTTAGCTTTTATGAGATATGTAATATTAATGTAATATGTAATTCTCATGTGTCACCAGAGATTTTTTAAAATCATATACTCAATTGAGCATCTACTCTGCAAGTCACAGTAGGGGTTAAAGGAAACAATTCTTAAGGAATATGGGAGGTAAGGCCTTATCATCATTCCCATATCTTTTCTAAGTTCTTCAAAATGTAGAACACACGTTACATATTTTAATGAATGTCAACTAAGACAAAGTGCTAGGATAGTTGAGTAGTGGAGAGGAAGGACAGATGGGTAGTGGGAAGAGATATTTGTGCATTGAGGTAATGAGGGAAAGCTTTGAAGATATTCCGAGGGAGTACACTTTTTCAAACTAAACTTTTGTCCAATATAATTCTGATTAAGATGCAATTCAACAAAGCATAGTACATTGGTTACTATGTATTTAATATCCTAAAAACAAAATATCTGAGCTTTTGTAAACTGCTTTCTAGCTAGTTTGTCCTTTTTTTGTACTGCTATCCTTAATTGTACCAGGTAGTACTCTTAAAAAATTTTATGCTTTTGTAATACTGAGTATCTCTTTTTTGGTATTTACGAGCTTTGATATTTGTGTTGTATTTGTAACTGTTTCTAGGGACCTAGAAACATGTTTGTTGACAAGGTGGTCTCTTCCTCTAGTCTACAAGTTCTTCGAGAGTAGGACTTACCTCATTTTATAGCTTTAACATTGGGCCTGGTAGGTACTGTGCTGTGTTTGGTGATGGATGATCAGTTGAAGAATGTTAGGGTGTATTGAAGCTGATCTAGCAGCAGAAATTGAAATGAACATTGAATGAGAAATGAAGGGACAAAGGAAGGAAGAGGAAGATACTTACACAACTGGGAGCATTAACTTGCTATCTCTGTTTTCCCTTCTGCTTTCTTTTTCAACTTACAACTAAATGAGGTGGTTTTATGAGCTTACATCTTACTTAGTCTTGGTTAGAAAGAAGTGGAAAAAGTAATCTGATTTATCTTAGAATATAGGCAACATGAAATTAGATAACTATAGCCATAAAGTGATATTACTTAGAGGAAAAAGAATGAAAATTATTCAAATAGTTCAAGTTCATGGAAGATTTGATACTTGTAGTTAACAACAGAATTGTAAATATAAGCATAATGGCAAGTTGATGAAATTCTTCTCAGGGGTACGGATATAAGTATATGAATTGACAGTTTTTAGTATAAAGAAACTCTATTCAAGAATGTGAGAATGCCCTATAAGCATAAAGGAGCATACAGATGATAGCTTAGAACCACTTAAATAAGTGAATTGTAATTTGATACGCCCAGATAAAAGTAATAGTATTGAATATTTGTTTGGGGGCACCTGGTTGTCAGATAAGGATAAAGTATAAAAGAAAAACCAAGATAAGTTTGAGAAAACAATAAGCAAATTTGTATCAGTTCCCTGTGGGGAAAAGAATCATATTTGAACCACATGCCTCAGAAAGACTAGTGTTCCCCTTCTTTCCCTTTTGTCTAAGATAAATAAAGATCCCTTCTGATTTGTAAGACCCATCTCCTTCAGTATGCTTTTGCTATTTCCCCCCATTACTTTTTTTTTCTTTCTTAGATCTTTATAAAATTGTACATTTGTATTGTGCTTTACAACGTGTACAACATTTTTACATTGATATGCCATTTGATTTTCTCAGATGTAGGCAGGGGAGATAATACCACTACCATTATAGATGTCAAAACTGAAGCTTAGAGAGATTAAATGACTTGTGTCAGTTCACACAGCTTGTCAGTAACAGAATCTGAACTAGAAGGAAGGTTCTGAAATTAGTCTGTTAAAATGCTCAGGTTTTCTCAAACTTCAATTTCTCCAGTTTTGATACTCTCACAAGGTACTTCCTATTTCATTTCTATCTTTTTCAGCAAAAATGTAGCCTGAATAACTGTCTCCACTCTTTACTGCTTTGCTATTCATTCATTCTCTAAAGACTCTTGTTTATTTATTCAGTCAGTGCATACTTCAGCGCCTATTGAATGTTTAGTTGACATATATTCTTAAGAGGATATATAAAATGAGGCTTCCATTATTGAGAAAAAGAAATTTGGAAAGTGATTTTTTTTTTAAAAATATACTTTTAAGTTCTGGGATACATGTGCAGAAGGTGTAGGTTTGTTACATAGGTATATACGTGCCATGGTGGTTTGCTGCACCCATCAACCCATCATCTACATTAGATATTTCTCCTAATGCTATCCCTCCCGTGGCCCCCAACTCCCCAACAGGCCCAACAGGTGTGATATTCCTCTCCCTGTGTCCATGTGTTCTCATTGTTCAACTCCCACTTATGAGTGAGAACATGGAGTGTTCTGTTAATTTAAACGATTAACAGTTACTCCTGACAGTTACTTGAGGTCAGGAGTTTGAGACAAACCTGGTCAACATGGCAAAACCCCATCTCTACTAAAAATACAAAAAATTAGCTGGGTGTGGTGATGGGTGCCTGTAATCCCAGCTACTCAGGAGACATACGTTGCAGTGAGCCGAGATTGTGCCACTGCACTCCAGCCTGGGCGACAGAGCGCGACTGCATCTCAAAAACAAAAACAAAAACAAAAGTATTGTGGAATTAGTGGGAATTCATTTGTGATCTATTTTAATAAAAATGGGAAAACTGTGTAGCCTGATTGATCATTTGACTAATTTTGCCTTGGGCTATTAATTACATTCGCATTTATAGACAGAGAACACTTCTTAAAAGATAAATGCGATTTTTTTCGTCATAACTAAAATGCTAGTTTGGGAAGCCAACTTTAACATTATTATGAAAGCTAATGAGAAAATGTCTTTATATATACTTGTTTTGTTTTTTCCTCCTTTATTATATAATATTTGAATAAATTTTGAACTTCCCTTTTTATTTTGAGAGCATTATAATTACGGAGAGTTTCAAATAAGATAAGTAGACACAATAGTGTAATAAACCTGAAAGTTTCCATCATGTAGC